GACCAGCATGGATCCAGACCAACCTGCGCATCCGCGCAGTCTGATCAGGATCCATGCTGTTCGCTTACAAACCCTATAACAAGTAGAGAAACTGAGAAACAGTGTAATAAAGTTGTTGGTCTCCAATTTTTCAACAACAAAAAAAACAAACAAACAAAAAAACCCAACTGTTTTGGCTTTTTTTTCGGAATGAAAATTATTGCATTTATTAATATTTAAAAAATAAAAATTAACATTGTAAGCAAAATTTACAGCTCTGATTTCATTTCATTTTTTAATTTTGAAAATCGATCACATTCATTATTATCATTATTATATACCAAACCTCTAAAGCACTTTTTTCATGCACATTGACAAGTTCAAAAGTACTGTACAGTATAACCAAATAAATGATACAATATTTAAAAGAAAAGAAAAACAACAAAACAAACAAATTAAAACATCAAGTCAAGTCAAGTCACAAATTCTAGCATGTTTCGTATGTACGTAGGTGCCTGTCCATGAAGCGCCTTAAACACATATGTAAGGAGTTTGTACTTGACTCTTATGTGCACAGGAAGCCAATATAGTTCCTTTAAAACTGGGGTTATGTGGCAGTTTCGCGGTGTCCTGGTAATAACACAAGCAGCCGTATTTTGAACATTTATGAGCTTGTTGAGAACGTACTTTGGAGATCCATATAGCCACGAATAACAGTAATCTAATTTTGATGTCACTTACGAGTTTATCAAGGTTCTGGTTGAATCTTGTCTTTTGCCATATTTTTAATGTAAAAATCATAACAACAATTTCTTGTTCTGCATCAATAGTGCAATCATAAAGAGGATATTTGTTTAGTTCGGTGTAAGATATAGAGGATATTGAATGAGTGTAAGTTAAATACTGAATTTATTGCACGAGTTGGATAAAATGATATTATGCGAGCCTCTGGCGAGCATATTATTATTTTATTCAACGAGTGTAATAAATTCAGTAATGAACTTACACGAATTTAATATTCTATTTATCACATACCAAAAATAAAGACAGTTTAAAGTGAAATAAGCGTCATTTTTCATTGACGCGCCTTTAGTATAACGCTAACATTTAGCGCATCTTTACATTATGTTTGTATAACGCTAATGACCTCACGTCAAAATATATGCACGGAGTCGCAAAATCGGCACGGATGTGTGATAATAGAATTTATTATATACTTATAAATTGAGAAATATTGATGAAATAAAATGCGTATTTTCATTTTCCGTATTTTCACTGTAAAAATTTATTTTTCACTGCAGTGAAACATATTTTCCGTATTTTCACTGGTGTCTTGCCGGACTACTTTCTTTTAAATTCTGCCAGTACAGGAAAATCTTTCAAATTTTAATATCAAAAAAGAGAAAAATGTATATAATAAACAGAAAATTCAAGTTTTTTCTATAAATACATGATTTATTTTCATCTTGTGGCATGAAAATTACCATATTTCACTCGTGGCTACCGCCACTCATGAAATATTTATTTTCATACCACTCAATGAAAATAAATCATGTATTTATAGAAAAAACTTGAATATCCTCTATATATTTTGGTGTTCACAAGGTGAAATGTATTTCGATCTTACACTAAACTAAACAAATTTTCTTTTTATTATATGCAAATAAACGTTTTAAAAGACATTAAACCTAATACTGAATGAAAAGCGCGCCAAAATATAATACAACGTGACGTCATTTACGACGTCACGTCATTAAGTTGGTTCCCAGTACTGTGCACGCTGGTATTTCACTGAAACAACGTAAGGGGCTTAAATTCAAAACAGTGAAATTATCAAATTGATAATTTCTCTGTTTATAAAAGTGAAATTATTGGTTTTATATCACTGATATATTTCTATAAACCACCGCAAAGCATGTAATTTTTTTTTTTAATACAAATTCTTAGAATTAGAGAAGGTTTGTGATCCAAAAATAAATAAATAAATAGATAGATAGTAAATTATGCAAAATTATGTTTTGAAGTTTATGGTGAACTCTGAAAACGAGTATATAATTGATTTGAAGGAAAAAACGATAGATAAAGCAATATGAACTGCGTCGTATCCACACATTTTCATAAAAATTCTGCCCCGCTTCGAGTGTAAGTTCGCTATAACTTTTGTTTTACAAAATAGTTGTGCAAGCAGCATATTACGAACGAAGCGGAAAATAGTGTAGCGTGTTAACACATATATCTGGTTTTCAGTCATTTCCAACAAAAAGAGTTATATACAAAAACATACATTTTTCGCTTCAAGATGGCGGCGTTTGTTTACATTTTGTAGGATACGACGCAGTTTTGATTCCCATCCCTGAATCCTGCCCTTTTAGATACAATATGCGCGCCGCGGCGCAACAAAAATAGTTATATACAAAAACATACATTTTTCGCTCCAAGATGGCGGCGTTTGTTTACATTTTGTAGGATACGACGCAGTTTTGATTCCCTGAATCCTGCCCTTTTAGATACAATATGCGCGCCGCGGCGCCGTGTCTACACCTATCCAAGTCTTGAATGCAAGTATCATATTCTCTTGAATTGGACCCTGCTTGAATGGTTTTTAATGAGAAATTATGTGACATCCATGAAAATAATTTCTTGCAAGAAAATTAGAACAGGTTCTATTTTTCTACAAGTTTTTGGCTGTCAAGACACTGATAAGACCGGTTTGACACAAAACATGTGCCCAAAGTTGTGATATTGTTGTTATTTTTACAATTTTTTAAACTTTTTTGTTGTTGGTTCAGTGTACATGACCTGTGAATTTTAGTAAATGTTTACAATGTCTTGGTCAAAGGAACAAATCAATACACTGATGCACAGAAGAGCATTAAAAAAATTAAAAAAGAGATAGTTTATCAAAAGTTATTAATCAATAGGAATTTTAAATGATCTTGTTTATTTAGTGAATAATGTTCATCAAATAAAGAATTTGCTTCAATTTATAAGCAACACTGATATTCAATTCAATGTTTATTTGACTTAAACTATTTTGCTTGAAAATTAATGCGCCTGTCAATTAACAATCTTTACGCAGTGATCTCCCCTGAATTTTTCGGCGTTAGTGTACATATAAAGGGAAGTAACCGCTTCAAAAAAGCGGACTACTTTCGGCATTTGCAATTAACAGCATCCAGGTCTGAAACTTCGCTACCATTATTTGTTTTGTCTGACGACCCAAACAAATAAAAATTAAGAAGAAAAATATGATAACCATTGGTAATGTCTTTATCAAGTTTCACAAATATTCAGGTTATCGATGAAATAAAGATTTTACACAGGGTATCGCTTATATAGCGGATCAGTATACAATTTTATCACATCGCGTTATTACACAAACAAGTAAAGACGCTGTTACCTTTATATGTCCATTTCAATGTTATTTTATGACACCTCGTGTGAAATGAATACAATTTGATACTGTCTGATATAAAGTATTATCCTTATTTCTAGATTTATTTACAGCTTTTGTATGACCAATTATTTAAATATGAAAATAATGTTTTGTTGTTTAATAGGTTCGCTATATGAGGAGACGGTTCCGTTGCGACTTTTACAGAGTTCGCCGGCAGGGAAATATTATGGTGTATATAGCTGCGGTGATAATAGTTATCTTTCTTGCTCCTTCAAAATTTAAACTAATTTCCAGTCTGACCTGTGTTTTAAAGGTAATATATCTTCCTATATATTTACACACATTCCAAGAATAATCTCTGTTTTAAGGGTAATATAACTTTCTATATACTTTAACTCATCTCCAGTCACAGATAAGATAGTCCCTGTATAATTTCACATATTTCAAAACTAACCTCTGTTTTAACTGTAATATGACTTCCTGGAAATTTCCAAAGCTTGTTAAATAATTGAAAAAAAAAAAAACAGAAATGTTTGCAATTTTTATACCCTACAAAAACAGTACATATATACTATATATGCTTTAACAAGTCCGTATCAATAGAGTAAAGTAAAAGTGGATCTATATAATGTTTTAAAGGATACTATGGGATATTGCAATGTATATACAAAAGGAAAAAGAAAAGAAACCCTGCGTACGTAAGTACGCATTCGGAACTGCCTCGGCTATTATCTATAATAACCTCGGAAACAATACGGATTAAAAGTAGTTCTACCACGTGGTTTCAGATGTAAACAGAAACAGAGATAATGTAAAACGAATGTATATATTTGACATCTAATGTCTGATTCGGTACTCTTATGCTTGAAAATATGTCTGACAACAATTTGTAATTTAAGTATGCCCGCTGATGTTCAATTTTAAACAAATCCGAATAAAAGTCAACAGGTTGGTTTTTTGTACTTTCGGTTTATACAGCCATATTAATAAATATATAAGTCATGTATTGTTCGCTTTTGTACCTATGAATTCACTTATTTTAGGTGGAGTTTTACTACATATATTGGAAATAAACTTGTCAACAACTCCCATCATTAAATTACTATTTGTTTACATGTTTAGTTTCTTAGCGTAGGTTAGACCGAAATACCGCATCCGTTCTGTGTATTCATACTATTGTGTTCGAGGTCCTTATCCGAAGACTGACGGAAAGGGCCGAGTAATTGCGATTGCGTAAGTACGCCCAAAACGGAAAATAAAAAGATTTGATTGAGCCTATTCATAGTCGGTTCTGGAAAGTACAGGTTACCGTCCACGTATCTCTAGCTTTGGCTTAAACGTAATTCAAAATTTAAACATGTTAATGGTGAAACTTTGAGTTTATAAACACCTGCATATGTCTTCATTCTTCGGTCATCATGGAATCTTCAATGTGACACGTATGTGTCATTCTATGAAAAGCGGCGTATGGTCCCAAAGTTAAAAGCGTACCATTGTACAATTAGACCAAGTACTCGTTCATTTCAATCTAGTTTTGTCTATCTATATTATAGCTACTATAAACAATTTGATATTAATAATTAAACCAGGTTTTATGAACGCAAATATTATTTTTTATTTTTTCAGCAAAGTGACGTTATCGAACAACTAGAAATAAATGTAACACACTTGACAAATCGAGAGATGACTGCAAAAATAGTGCCGTCTTACATAAAAACTAAAACTGGCCGAATATATTTATTTTCAGCCATTATTGCCCATATAGAAAACGATCAGGCATTTAAACATAATCAAACACAAAATATTACTGAAGTATCTCCAACAGCTATCGTCACTGGATGGGAACATAAAAGCGGATCCTCTTATGATTTTAAATGTTGCTTCAGATTAAAGAATGGCATGTTCGTCTCCGTTTTATCTTGGAATAAATCTCATTGGGTTTATTTTCTAGAAAACTTTAATTTACAGGCAAAACAGTTCAAATGCCCAGTTAACTTTGATATTAAAGATATTTCTTCGATCACGATCTTAGCTGATAAGAATGCAACTTGTCCAGAGGAAAACGTATTCTATATCACACCTACAATCATAAAACATAATAAAAGTCCTAAAAATATAAGAAGTCGGAATGTTGGTGTATGTGTAAAACTTACATATGGATCTTTAGATGCTCAACGGCTGATAGAATGGTTTGAGATCCATAAATTATTTGGTGTTGACAAGGTTATAGCATATACCTACCAATTAAATTCAAAAGCAGCTAAGGTTTTAAAATTTTATGAAAGAAGTGGAATGGCTCAGGTTTATGACTTCGACTTTCCCGAGAAAGGTAAGGTATATACACATGGGAAATAAAGTGAATGAGACATTCAATGGTAGCTATTCGATGTCTTCTTAAAAGAACAATTTAGAGTTCACAAAAAAAGTTTATGAAAATGAGCAACTTTTTAAGTTAATTCGGAAGGATGTCGTTATAAATTTTCTGTTTGTTTTGTTCAGAATTATTAGAAAATATAGTTACTCATTTTGCCATGTACCCGTTTGTCTTGAAAGACGAAGTCATTTTGATATCCCTCTCCCGACTAAGGAAACGGAAACTAGCAAGCAATCAAAAATATATTTTGGAAACCATAAAACAATTTTCACAACTATACTTGAAACTATATGTTTATCCGATATTAAACGACATGTTAACGAATATTAAGAGGATATTTTTTCGTTTGCGTGAAATATGGAATATATTTTCACGAAACATGATAAAATGCCACATATTTTCACGAGCCGGTACGGCGAGTGAAAATATGTGGCATTTTATCATGTTGAGTGATAATATATTCCATATTTCACGAAAAACAAAAAAAATAACCTTTTTATTTAATTTCATTATCAAAGAAAATGGTAACGAATCCCCTTGCTTGCTACCAACTGCAATTGTACAGCGCGCAGTAATTTATGCGTAAGCACGCGCTGTTTGGCGCTACATTGTGACGTCATGTAAACAACCCTTTAAACGTCTGTACAGCGTTAATTACTGAATTAAAGATATTGGTGTTCGGATTAATTTTCTTAGTTAGACCATTTTCTATCATGCTAGATAGTTTTCAAAACAATATTCAAGAAAAAGTTGTTTTGTATTTATCAGATTTTTCAAACAAAACGGCGAAAGAAGTCCTTAAAATAAATATGAGTTTTGACTCCGCCCATTTTCATATTTATATTTCATATTTATTTTTAAAAAATATGAAATATATTTGACTGATATAGCAACATATTTCATGGGTAAAATTAAATAATTTCAGATATCATTAAACGCAACATTGGTGAGAACTCTCAATACTTGAATGATGAACAAGTGGTGTTATTTGACTGCCAGGAACGACTTAGAAATTATGATTATGTTGCAGTCGTCGATACAGATGAGTTCTTACTACCGAGAACGAAACATTTCAAAAATGCTTGGAAAATTTACTTTGTAAGTCACTTTTAAAGTGGCGGGACATCCGGCGTATAAATAAATATAACAAAGTGTATTCTATGTACATTATTATTTACTCTATCGGAATTGGCTTCATGTCTCTATCATTAACTTAGAATGAATAGTCAGTTTTTCGTATTCAACATTACAAATTTAAATCAAAACATTTCCAAAAGAACTGAATAGAATGTCTTGCATATAGACTGGTGATTCCGTTAGTTTTACCCATGCCGGAAATTTCATCTGTAGAAGCCAGGTGAGTCGCGTGCTATACAATGGTATGCTTAGGATGGCCTTATTTCGCCGTTATGACTGAAGTTGTAATTTCATATGCTGTTGTAAGAAAAAAGTTACGGGTGTAATGACAAAAATGTTCATGGAAAATTGTTTTGTTAAGAAAAATAATTTCAGATATGAAGAAATCTGGTAAAATATGCAAGAAAAATATCTGACACATGTTTGCGGTTCGGATCGGAATATCCGTCCTTCGGGAACCCGCCCATAGTCCGATCCGAACCGCAACATTTGACAGATATTATTTATACATCTTATTCCACGAATATGTAAATGGTGCCAATGCCGCATTTTTTTTTTGCGCTTAGTGCCTACACTCGCGTTAACATTATATGCATCATTTGTTTTTTGTTGTTTTTTTTCTAGGAAAATAAGTTAAGGAAAGAGAATGTTGGAGCGTTGTTCTTTTGCGTTAGAATCCATGCATATACTTGGGGACCGTCAAACAAAAGCCATCCGCTTCATATCGGACGATATAGCAACTGTACATTTCCAATGAATGACAGAAATAAGGGTGTATATATGCCATCTCGAATACGACAAGGAAGTGTGTGGACTCATGGAGCTTATCCGTTACAGGGTTTTACAAGGTAATTTAATATCGTTTCTAACTCCCTAGGCTCATATACGTTTACGACAATAGCAAAATTGATGGCAAACAATCATGTAATACACCTTGGATAACCAAAAATATTTTGCATATTTCAGAAATGTTCAACACATATGAAAATAAATTGAAAACATTCGTGCAAATACAGAATCACTTTTAATTAATGTAAATAGAAATGAATATTTGTACTACTATGACATCATTGCATCAGTCACTAAAACACTTGTCAGGAATGTTTTGAAAAACAATATTTTAGATATTTCATTACTGTTTGAAACACAGCGTAAGCAAAACTCGCACAAGGATTCAAATTAAAAAAATAAACTAAGTGAAAAATCTAAAATAGAAATGGGAGCAAAAACTTAACAATAATTTGAAATGGAAAGCAATAAATATTTCACTTTTTTAAGATGCAAGAAACACTGAACTTTGAAATGTTCAATACAAGTTTATCCATAGATCACACCGTATTAAATTACCGGCGGCAGTGATGGCAGATCACTGCAGTGATGGCAGATATCTGAAAATTACCGATCGGTACAGGTAGGTTATAAATTTGGTTGGTTTTATTATATTACACAAATACGGCCCATATCATTGCTATAAAACTATTGTCCATTGAATGGAGATACTGTAAGGTAATTTTGGACTCGTTTTTTCCTGTTTTCAGACTATTTTGAGCAGGTTAAAAGTGAAAGCCTTGGAAAAAATCCGTGAAAATGTTTGTTTTCTGTTCAAAATATCTCAAGTTTTAAGTAAATGGCAGGATTTCCTGTTATCAATATAGACGTTCATCCATTGGGGTCACGCAAGCCAAATATCTACCCCGTGAGTCTTTTCTTGAAAGTTTTACAGACGCTCAATCTTGTCCGGTCGAAGAAAAAATGCTGCCGTTGTAGGCAGATACATATTATAAATGCTGCCGTCGATGGCAGAAATACCACGAAAGTGGCTAACATTCTGACAGAAAATCAAGTTTAATCTTTTATCAATTCCTCTTTTCTTTGCGTCCTGTTAGTCGGAATTGAGACGTTAAACTATCATTTCTAATATTTTCTCAAGATAGAAAAGTTATTAATGCGGTGTGTGCATCGAAAAAAGCTTTTTAGCAACATGCAGTTACAATACAAAAAGTAATGATTTAGTACGACAAAATTTTACTATAATTAGAGAAATGAACATGAAAAACTTCATTTTTCTATATTCATGCATGTGTGCTTGATCTGTTCATATGAATTGAAAGGTCAAAAAAGAGAAAAAGAATATGACAAGTCAAAAAATTCTAGTTTTTTCCTATAAACACAGGATTTATTTTCATCTAGTGATCATCGAAAGGTTCATCTTTATAAGTTGTCATGGTTACAACTAAAATGAATGAAAAAATATATAGTTAAATGGAAGCACGTGATGTTAGAACTGTTGTTAATAGTTTAGCAGAGTAAATGTAATTCAAAGACAAACTGCAACGCTATTACAAACATGAAAATTTAAAGAAATGAATCCACGTTGTCGTGTTTTTCAAGAACTTGATAATATAGGAAAATATTTGAACTGTCAGTAATATTATCTTTCCATTTTACATTAACATACATTGTTTTATGATACACTGATGCCAGTTGCGAGGTTAATAGTCTCCCCTTTATTACATCAATTTAATAATTTATAATCTGCGCCGATTAAGTAAATTTCAGCCTTTACTTGTTATAAAGCGATGAACATTATTACCTCGAGAAAATAATGTCATATGCTAGCAAATGAATATCCACTTACAGAAGTTACTTGATATCCACTTACAGAAGTTACTTGCTGTAATATGCAATTGGCGTTATGTCTTAAAAAGGGAGTGCGCTGCTAAACTTAAGATACATATAGTATTGTATGCATGTAACTGACAGACACAACAGATCAAGCACACATGCATGAATATAGAAAAATGAAATTTTTCATGTTCATTTCTCTATTTATAGTGAAATTTTGTGGTACTAAATCATAACTTTTTATATTGTAACTGCATGTTGCTAATAAGCTTTTTTTTCGATGAACAACCGCATTAATGAAAAAAATCAAAAAATCTACAAAACAGCAATTTTTCTTCAAAATTATATGTGAGGCCATGTTTTAACATGGTAAAACGCGTTTTTGGGTAATTTCGTTTTTTTTTTTCATCATTTTCTGTTAACTCATTACCAGATATATACGCCTTTCTATGCCTTTTTCACCCCCCCCCCTCCTTTTCTGCTTTCTCAAATTGTGAAAACATGCCTTATTTAGGCCCCCAAACACTTGTTTTTGTTTGATAAATGTTGTTTAAGAAATTGACCACTTTTTCGGCGCGGGGCAACCCCCCCCCCCCCACCCCCATCCAAAAGATACATCAGGGGGTTGCCAGAAGGGGGATGTGCCCCCTCATCGCCAAGAAAACTTTGGACTTGTTGGAGGCTAAAAATGACCCCAGATTGATCATAAGGTAACGTGTAACCAATGCTGAAAAGCCTTTGACTCTGTCTCAATCCATTGAGAAGTGGCAGCACTTTGAAATCAATTTTGATTGAAAAAATCAACGCAAAATAATGATTTTTGGCAATTTTGAGATGTCCCCTAGTTGCTATGGTAACAGGAAATTTCAGACTGAACATGTTGTTACAAAGGCAATGGTCCAGTCAATATTTGTGCCAAGTTTGATTAGTATTGAAGCAGTTTTTATAGTTTTATAGCAACTTGAACTTGTAACGGGAGACCTTTCAATGAAAACAGCCATTTTTCACAAGATGCTCATGGGGTAATGGGTTAATAACTTTTCTTTCTTGAGAAAATATTAGAAATGATAGTTTAACGTCTCAATTCTGACTAAAAGGACGCAAAGAAAAGAGGAATTGATAAAAGATTGAACTTGATTTTCTGTCAGAATGTTAGCCACTTTCGTGGTATTTCTGCCATCGACGGCAGCATTTATAATATGTATCTGCCTACAACGGCAGCATTTTTTCTTCGACCGGACAAGATTGAGCGTCTGTAAAACTTTCAAGAAAAGACTCACGGGGTAGATATTTGGCTTGCGTGACCCCAATGGATGAACGTCTATATTGATAACAGGAAATCCTGCCATTTACTTAAAACTTGAGATATTTTGAACAGAAAACAGACATTTTCACGGATTTTTCTAAGGCTTTCACTTTTAACCTGCTAAAAATAGTCTGAAAACAGTAAAAAACGAGTCCAAAATTACCTTACAGTATCTCCATTCAATGGACAATAGTTTTATAGCAATGAAATGGGCCGTATTTGTGTAATATAACCAACCAAATTTATAAGCTACCTGTATCGATCGGTAATTTTCAGATATCTGCCATCACTGCAGTGATCTGCCATCACTGCCGCCGGTAATACGGCGTGTAGATATGTGGCAACAAACTTTTTTTACATAAATCTAAAATCTTCGGATCAACTTTAAGTTCTTTTTGTTATCGATCATTTATTTTGAGAATGTCTATATATATACAACAGTATTGAAACGAAGTGTTTAAATTTATCAATAACAATAACTAAATATTATCAAAATACTTTTATGTGTATCCATGGTAATAATTCAATCAACTATATACTTTTACTTGCAAATGCAAACACTACAAATCCAAACCATCTATCTGTTTCAACCTTTTTTTTATTAAAAAATGGGAAATCGATTAGGATATGACCAAATTCCATGCAATTAACATCATGTCTTCTTGTATATTTTATATCAACTTTAAATGTATATGCAAAGTGATTTTGTAAGGTCAGTATAGGATGATCCTCCAACCCAAGTTGACAAATATGACTCAACAAGCATAAATTCAAAGAAAACAGTTTATTAAAAATGTAGAAGTAATACATTTAAATGTTCATCTATAATTAAATTCTCTTTTCCTTGTCCCTTTTTCACTACTGATTTATTTTTTTAGCCTAAAGTTGGGTTCATTTTCGCTTAAGTTGAGTTTTACGTTATATGTACAGCACAGTAAGGGCAACATAACACATCTTTCGTTAATCCGTTAAAGGTGTATTTTTATCAGACACCCGAGTAGCGCCAGCTATCTTTGATGTGCAATCAAATGCTTCTTTAACCATTACATGTATAATGAAAAAAAGGAAAATTAAACAACAACATGCCCAGCTTATTTGTCAAAGTATTTTCTTATTTTTTCAGTTATGTGGTGGCGAACGTGAGCGAAGCCGTTATACATCATTATAGACACTGTAGAGAGGAATGGTTGAATACAACTTCCACACATGTTAGCCGTTCAGAAATGTATCTGTTTCATATGACAAACACGACTAAATGCACCGATTTTCGCCGGTCCCATTCCGATGTTATTGGTCAACTGGCTGACAATATCAAAGATGACGTATTTAGAAGACTAGAGGAAATAGAACTGTGAATTTAATGTTATTTCACGGACATTTACATATGTCAGAACATTAAACAGTACAATATCACAACAGTGTTTTACTTCTTGCATGTATGTATAATAGACATGAAAAATAGAAAAGCAAACATTCCTCAGTAAAAAAATTAGACAAAAATGCTCTTGTCTTAATCATCTTAAAGTAATCAAATGATTATTCAATACTCCCTTTTTAAATAGGTGCTTTTTAGCTCACCTGTCACAAAGTGACAAGGTGAGCTTTTGTGATCGCCTTTCGTCCGGCGTCCGTCCTTGGTCCGTCCGTCCGAAAACTTTTACTTTAAATGACATCTCCTCATAAACCACTAAGCCAATTTCATCCAAACTTCACAGGAATGTTCCTTTGGTGGTCACCTTTAAAAGTTGTTCAAAGAGTTTAATACTATGTAGAACTCTGGTTGCCATGACAACCGAAAGAAATTTTTTTAAATATCTTCTTTTAAAAAAGCCAAAGAGCTAGAGCTAAGATACTTGGCATGAAACATTTTCTAGTGAGTGTCTACCAAGTCTGTTCAAATAAAAGCCCTGGGGTCAAAATTGGTCCCGCCCTAGGGGGTCATTGAATTTCCCTATATGCATATAGAAAAAACTTAAAAAATATTCTTTTAAAGAACTCAAAGAGCTAGAGCTAAAATATTTAGCATGAAACATCTTCTAATGACTGTCTACCAAGTTTGTTCAAATAAAAGCCCTGGGGTCAATATTGGCCCCGCCCCAGGGGGTCATTGATTTTAACTATATGTGTATAGTAAAAACTTAAAAAATCTTCTTTGATAAAACCCAATGAGCTAGAGCTTAGATGTTTAGCATGAAACATCTTCTTATGAGTGGCTACCAAGAAGTTTGTTCAAATAAAAGGCCTTTGGTTAAAATTGGCCCTGCCAGGGGGGGGGGGAGGTCATTGTTTTTCATTATATGTGTGTAGTAAAAACTTAACATCATGAAACATCTTCTGATGGGTGTCTTCGAAGTTTGTTCAAATAAAAGCCCTGGGGTTTATACTGGCCCCGCTCTGGGGGCCTATATACAGGTGAGCGACATCAGGGCCACCATGGCCCTCTTGTTTCAGTTTATCATATAAAACATTTTCTAGTTATATTAGGTCAACATGTATAAAATTGTCCAAAAGCATGATCGACAAGAAAAAATACCATGCGATAAAACTCTTAATACATGTAGTATCATAGGTATTTCACATCATACTTGTACAACCATTTGTTTGTATTAACACAAGGTGCTGAAGCATTGAAAAGGCCATTCAAGTCTTTTGATCTGTTGTATTCTGATTTTATACTGCTTAAAGAAGTACCAAAAGCTATGGCGGATAAAGAAAAAAAACACTCAATGGGCAAATGGTAATAAATATAAGCATGCAACTAGGTTATGGTTAATTTTGACCAGTTATGCATAGATTGATAGGGATTGACTGACTTGTAGATTTTTCAGCGATTCCGTTAATTGTGTCCATATGGAGAGCGGGTCATCACATGTCTCACGTGGAATTTCATCCTTTAACGCTAAAACTTTGCCCCCACCCCCTCCCCCTTCACTGGAACTAAAAAATCGAAAGCATTATATAAACACATTGGTCCGGTAACTTGCGATGCCATTGTATTTTTGATTAAGAGTTCTTCCTTAACATTGATTTTCACCAAAATAGTTTGAGAAGTCGAGTTATAATCTAAACAAATGACTAAGCTATACATGAATACTCGATCCAAGCATATGGTATACATTTGGCATAAATTCTAATTTGTTGACAATATTATTCATTTTTTGACAAACTTTCAAGCTCTTGGGCTGAAATAAAGGTACAATATTAACAAACCGGAAGTTTTCTAGATCGCTTAACATTTTGCGTTACATAATTTAAAGGTCGTAAATCATGGTAATGGCACTCTTACGGTTTAAGTACACTTCAGTTTTATCAGCGTGTTTTAATGTCAACAATATAATTTTTAAAAAAGAGTGAAAACCCAACAATAAAACGTTTTTTAAAATTTGAGTAAACGGCAAAATAAAAAATTTTTTTCTAAACAGTGTCTTTTTTTGTATTTGGAAGATTTTTTTGGGAACTTTGGAAACAATCACTAATAATTCAAGTAAAAAATTATCTTTTTTATCGTTTTCAAAATTTTTGACTCGAATTTAAATGACGGGAACTGTGTGAAAAGTCAATTAAATTTTTTCATAATTTTTTATGTTTCTGAATTAATCTTGGTTAGGCGGTCAGATTTTTGTCCTAACATAGGCTGGTCTAGACTTGCCTTACATAGGCTGGTCTAGACTTGCCTAACATAGGCATTTCACATGGTAGCGTTTCAACAATTTTGCATGATCGTTTAGGGATGCGCAAACTTACAGCCTGTTTGGTTCCAAAATCTCTTGGCAAGGAACAAATGGCAATGGGGGCATCAGTAAGTATGGAGGGCGTTCGTTGCCAAAATTCCAGACATGTAAAGTGTTCCTTTTTAAAATGACTTTTGAAAATGCGAACTTGTATGCCTACCATTTTTATTGTATGCCTCTTAATTCAATCTTTTAATTGAAGGTTACCGCCTTTATATAACAAGTTTACATATATATCGTAACAACTGACCTAACATCTAAAACGACAACAAATTTACAAGTTCGTATCTTCCATTGCATGCAATACATACGCATGCTTGTACACTTATAGATCTGTAATAAACAAATGAAATGTAAAACTCGAATACGGAAAATAGAGTTTAAGAAAACGTGCTACCAGTTGTAGAACTACAAGAGTACGTTAACACAGTAACATGTTTAAAATGACAAAAGTAGATTCACAAAGTTAAACGATTTTAAGTCAAGCATAACGCCCCGCCCCTCTCGAAGTATTTACGAACTTCTATTGCGGACAGGTATAAAACGGCGCCTCTCCCATATTTTTAAATAAAACTGAAGGACAACATACGGCATTTTTTCATAACATATATATGTTACATTTGTTACAAAAGTTTTGTCACTAGCAACATCACTTGAAAATTGCTGATTTTACCATTTATGATGAAGATAACTTGTGCATTACCTTATTATTTTACATCGTGTTCTTATCACTTACAAATTATTTATCATTTTAGTGATTAGCCTGTCCGTGCTATGCCTAGTGCCCTGTCCTGTGTTTTGTTTGGGGTCCGCCTGGGCTTCTTGCCACTTGTTCTTGTTGCTGGGTCATGTAGGGTTGCGTTCATTGAGCGCTGCCTTTCCTTGTTGATCTTGTTTATCATATATTCCTGAGAAACATCGGCGATTTGGAAATTTTTAGGGGAAACAATGACCAACTTCAAGGGAGTAATTTTATTGATAATGTAAAAGCCATCCAATATTCTTATTGGTATCATTGAAAAATGTATTGGCACAAATTTCATTTTCAACAAAAACTATGCAAGTATTTGCAAAAATAGGATTTTAAAGCGGCCACCGAGATGTCCTTTCCGAAATCAAGAAAAATACTTATCCGTAGCACATATGTACAATCTTTAATAAGGTATTTTCAGTATGAATAAAAACTTTTTGCACTTGTTCATTATCCCGCATGTACAGACTCAATCAAACCGAGTCTGCAAGTCTTATGTAATTTTTTGTAGTGATTAGTGCTTCCGAGGGATCACTTTGTTTCCAGATTTTTAACTTCACAACAGCAGGTGTCAAGTGCCGTGTGGCAGCTGTAAAAAGTTGCCCCCGTACTTCACTTCAGTGTTTTTTCTGGTCCTTCGGGATCATTGATGCCAGCGCTATTAAGTGTTGAGAATTGAGTACCGTTCAAGCCGGTGGTAGGGGGCGTGAGGGATGTTGCACTTGTTCATTATCCCTCATGTGCAGACTCAATTAAACGAATCTGCAATTCTTATGTAATTTTGTTGTGATTAATGCTTCCGAGGGATCACTTTGTTTCCAGATTTTTTAATTTATACTTGTTCAAAGCTTATGGTCTTAAATTTCATTCAATATTCAATTTCCTTTTTGAATAAAGTATCTAAAGGAAGCGACGTTATTTTTTTTTCCGAATATATGAGTGTGGATTTAAGAGAAAAAATAAACAACGATAAATTAGAAGAAACAATTTTTTTTTTAATACTTCTAACATAATTAATTTTCATTTTTTAAGCATCACTAGAAAGTTCATAAAGGATTCTTTTACTTGAGTCTAAAATTATCAACGCCGCCTTTCCTTGATGATCTTGTTTATTATCAAAATTGACCAAGAAATAAAAAAAGTAAGTAGGGGGCGCCATGTTTTTTCTCTACTGAATTTCAGAGTGTGTTTTTTTTTACTTGGGGATCATATGCCGTTTTTCATGGTATGGCACTTACGTGTCACATTGAAGGTTCCGTGATAATCGCCATATTAACACATCTGCGGATGTTTCAAAATTGTACCAGTTTCATGTTGAATTTTGCTTAAGCCGGTGCTAGGGGGCGTGGACGATAACTTGCTCTTTCCATTACCGTCCATGAGCAGTCTCAATCAAACCGGGCCTGCAACATTCTCAATTTTGTCGTTTTGAGCGTTCTTTAGGGATTCTTATTTTCTCTATTTTACAGAAAGTAACATGATAAACTTTTTAACGAAAAGTTAATTCAGTTTGATTTAATTCATTTTTTATTTTTAGGCATTATATAATTATATATCATAAATCGTATGAAGCACACTTTTATTTCAATCCAAAATTATCAAAATATATTACGAACTTAAAAAAAGTTTGGAGGGAACGCCGTGTTTTTCTTACCAATTCGAGAGTGTTATTTTCAGAGTAAAAAAACCTAAAACTTCAATACATCTATTTAATTCATTTTTATTTCCGAGGCACTCATAGAAAGCTTATGGAGTAATCTTTCATTTGATACCAATAATATTGGACTTTTTATAGAAATAAAAAAAAAGTTAGAATGGACGCCGTGTTTTCCTTCACTTTAGAGAGGCGACGGGGTATTATACCTGTCCGTACATTTCCGTGATAGAAGATCGTAATTACTCAGAGAGAGGCGGGGCGTCATGCATGACTTAGAATCGTTTAACTTTGTGAATCTACTTTTGTCATTTTAAACATGTAACTGTGTAAACGTACTGTTGTA